GTACAATAAGTGGTACATAAATACATATAAACTTAAAGGTTACTAAAAATTCACATTTTGGAATTAACCCTAAAGTAGGTATCCTTAATTTGGTGTCAATGGAGACTTAGCAAGGCCAAGAATGAACTTCAGGGGCATATCTACCAACCACAAAACAAAAAAATCACAGCCAAAATAAGGCATATGAGTATGTGCATTTTGCAAGGGAGGTGATACATAACTCATTGGATCCTCAAAGGTGTCTATGATCCAAAAATAATACAGGCCATCAATGCAAAGAACAGCTTGTAAAAACATGGGAAAAAGTATGCACAAGGATGTTCATCACAGCATTGTTGAAGGTGAAAAACTGGAAACAATCTAAACTGACTTCAATAAGGGCTTGTCAAGTACAAACCTGAAACATACATGATATGCAGCATATATATCAAGGCATACTACTCAGTGAAAAAGCTGAGTACCACACAGCACATAAAATATGGCCTCACCTCTGGGAAATAATATCCATGTGTATCTAGACATGGAATGTTTCTGGGAAAACAGTCACCAAATGTTAATAGTTATCTCTGGTGGAATTTGGGATGTTCTTGTCCTTCCTTTTTACACACTCTGAATTGTCTGAATTTGTATAGTGAGCATGTTGTCATCTTAACAAAACAATAATAGTATTTTCAGGAATAGGAAGGCTTATTTAGAGAAATGTAAAGAAGGTAGAATCACAACTGGCAGCTAATAGAAAGTTTGTGGGGGAGGGTATAGCTTAGGGGTAGAGTGCATGCCTAACATACTCAAGGCTGTGGGTTCAATCCCCAGTACCTCCTTTAAAATAAATAAATAAATAAATAAATAAATCAAACAAACAAACAAACAAACCTAATTACCTTCCCCCGAAATAAAATTAAAAATAAATATAAATAAAAATTTTAAAAAGAAAGTTGGAAATTATTAACCTTAAAGTTGGCATCAAGATACACACTACTATATATAAAACAGATACTGGATAAAGAAGTTGTGGTATGCTTATACAATGGAATACTATTCAGCCATGAAAATGACAACATAATGCCATTTTCAGCAACATGGATGTCCCTGGAGAATGTCATTATAAGTGAAGTAAGCCAGAAAGAGAAAGAAAAATACCATATTATATCACTCATATGTGGAATTTAAAAAAAAAGAAGACAAATGAACTTAAATATAAAACAGAAACAGACTAACAGACATAGAATACAAACTTGTGGTTGCCAGGGTGAAGGAGGGTAGGTAGGGACAGCCTGGAAGTTTGAGATTTGTAGATACTGACAGGTATATATAGAATAGATAAACAAGTTTGTACTGTATAGCACAGGAAAATACATTCAAGAACTTGTAGAAGCTCATGGTGAAAAAGAATATGAAAATGAATATATGTATTTTCATGTATGACTGAAAAATTGTTCTGTACACCAGAAATTGACACAACTTTGTAAACTGACTATATCTCAATTTTTAAAAATATATAAACAACAAGGACCTACTATATAGCACAGAAAACTATATTCAGTATCTTGTAATAGCCTATTATGGAAAATAATCTGAAAAAGAATATATATATATATAATATATATATATATATATAACTGAGTTACTTTGCTATACATTTGAAACTAACACAACATTGTAAATCAACTATACTTCAATTAAAAAACAGTTAGCATCAAAGAGATCACCGATGCGCTCCAAGAAGACAATAAAGTATGATGAACCTAAGGCTGACCCAGCGTGGCAATTCCTACATTCAAATTTAAGCATGTTCAAGGGAAGTAACAACTGGTCTTGGAAGCTGCTGGCTCCATCTAGTTCACCGTGAACTGGTTTTTCTGTGAAGACCCGAGAGCTCCATACAAGTGTAAGACCACGTGTGTAAGAGGTGGAGATAATTGCTTATTATCACATGCGGTTGAGCCAGTCAGCCTGGTACGTGGCATGACCTGTTTCTGGAAGAGCTCAGGTTGCTCATCATCTGAGTGAGATTAGAGTCTTCCTTCCTCCTCAGTGGACAAAGACCCACTTATAACCTTTTGTTTAAAACATGAAACACTCACTTATGAGATTCAAATCATCCTTGAAAAGACTACGCACACTTACCCTGAGTCAGAGCTGCCCCTTCAATATTTCTTCATTGAACCTTTCTGGTTTGCTGTCACAGGAATCTGCCTCAAAAGCCATGCATTTTCAAAATGTCCCTCTGTTTGGTACCCCCAAATTTTCCCATGCAGGAATAATACACTATAATAATATTTGAGATGGATGAGCAGAATACTTTTGTCAAGAGGGAGGACCATAATGCAAAGGAAAGCAGATAATTTTAACAGAGAATATATATCAGGAAATTGTGAGTCTGGAAAATAATTCACTTAAAACTATCCATGTCCCTTCACCTCCTGGAAACTCTTCGTACATACTTAGGGGTGTGTATACCTACCCCCATTTGAAGGCCATTGCTTTGGTCCAGCTCATTTATTTGTAGGTATGGAACCTGAGCTCAGTGCACTGGCCAGACCAAGACTAGAGCCCAGTCTTCCAAAGTGCAGACAAATGAGGTTTCAGCTCTACCACACTGCCCTTACTGTGACCTTGGATAAATCTTTTCCCCTTTCGAGGCTTATTTTTCTCATCTGCAAAATGAGATGGATAGACTAGCTGATTTCCATGTTAGATACCTCTCCTTTTTTCCTCTCAGTCCACCCTCCAGACTTCTCCACTCTGCTCTGATCCCCAGAGGTGGACATGTTTAAACCGTTATCACGAGGTTCCCTTGACCGCTAGCCTCTGGTTGGGTGCAGCCAATGGGAGGCCCTGGCATGAACTTGGAAGGCAGAAGGGGAGTAAGACTGGACTATTTACTCACCTGGCTCCCCTGCTTTGTTACCATGGGTTGGTGGTACCCTGCCCTTGAAGGCCATCAATCCTATGATGAGGAGTTCCTTCAAATTGGTTCCTCTATCATTTTTACATACCTCATAATTTTTAGTACTTCCTGACCTTCTGAAACCACAAGGTGTTCCAGACTTACCTTATATTTTCCTTGGAATCAATCATTTCTGCAAGAAATCCATGACTTACCTGCTCCATCCTAGTGCACATATAAAGTAGTTTCAGAATTACTGAGCCATACCCCTGAGGGAAAAAAATTTCACTAACTAGAGTATAATATTTGCATATAGTTCTGCTTTTAGTCTTACATTATGCAGTCAAAATACTGTTCTCCAAAGTTAGCTGGTTCTTCTTCCCCAGCTTCTTTGGTTTGGTCCTGATATTCATTAGCAATACAGTTGTATCCATTTGTTATTCTTTGTATTCTAACTTGGGCTCCCCCTACATCCTGGTTGATTTTAATTTTTCATTTTGGGGGTGAGTGAAACATTAGTGTGGTTCTAAGAGTGAGAGCCATACAAAAAAAAAAACAATATTGGGTAAATGTCACTCCCCCCATCCCCACTTCCTCACTCTTTCCACCACACTGCCCACCATCCTTCAGTAACCAATCTCATTAGGTTTAATCGTTCTTGATTTCTTTTGCACAAATAAACAGCTATGTGTATATTTTGTGATCTCCCCCTTTTTCCGTTCATGAAAGGAGTCACATTATAGCTCTTTTTTTTAACTGTGGTACAATTTGCATAACATAAAATCTATCATTTTAAGTGTAAAATTCACCAGTATTTAGTATATTCACCTGTTGTACAACCACCATCTCTAGTTAATTCCACAACATTTCCATCACCCCGAAAGGAGTCTCCCTACCACTGAGAAGTTACCCTTCATTACCCCATCCCTACAGCCCCTGGCAATGACAAATCTGTTTTTCTCTTTCAAAGAATTTGCCTATTCTGAATATTTAACATAAATGGAATCATACAATATATGTGACCTTTTGAATCTGGCTTCTTTCACTTAACATAATGTTTTTGAGGCTTATCCACACTGGAGTGTGTATCAGTCCTTTATACTTTTTTATAACTGAATAATCTTCCGTTGAATGGATATACCACATTTTGTTTATCCATCCATCAGCTGATGGACATTTGGGTTGTTTCCACCTTTTGGTTATTGTGAATAGTGCTGCTGTGAATGTTCGTGCACAAGTATTTGTTTGAAAATCTGTTTTAATATGTCGGGAAATATTCCTAGAAGTAGAATTGCTATGTCATTTGTTATCTTTAACTTTTTGAGGAACTACCAAAATATTTTCCACAGTAGCTGCATCAATTTGTATTCCCATCAGCAATGTATGAGGGTTCCAAGTTCTCCACAACCTCACCAGCACTTGTCATTGTCCATGTTTGCCTGTTTTTTGAATGGCTACCATCCTAGTGGGTGTAAAGTGGCATCTCAACGTGGTTTTGATTTGTGTTCTCCTAATGACTAACAATGCTGAGCATACTTTCCTGTGCTTATTTGCTATAGACACGCTTTTGCATTCTGTTTTTTTCATCCAGTACATCCTGGAAATCACTCCATGTCAATTCACATAGGTTGTTCTTATTCCTTTTGCACTTGCATAGTAGGTGAATTTGGTGGATTAATACAGTTTACTCAACTACTTGCCTATGTGTGGGCATTTAGGTTCTTTCTAACATTTCACAATTACAAATAATGCTGCATTTAATAACTTGGTCCGTATGTATTTTCATATAATTGGAGGCATTCTTCAGGGTGGATTCTTCATAATTCAAGTGGAAATGGGATTGCTGAGTTAAAAGGTAAGTTCACATGAATTTTTGTGTGGTAGGAATAAAGTTAGCAAGGAACAATGCTGGTTCTCTTGAGCCTAATGATAAATACTGCACCCCTGCAATTAAACTCTACCTAAAAGAGTTGAAGCCCAAGAGGAAGAAACAACCAACTACTTTTTACCGTGAGGGAAAGGAAACATGTATAAAAGTTACTTTTTAATCTTCTTATAACAAGATAATGCTATGCTAAGGGAAAGTAGTCTTGTCAGCACACAAGCGTACCTCATTTTTCTAAAGGCAGGATTTATGTTTGCATAGGATTCCATGAGGTCTAGTAGAGGCTGAGTCCTGAGTGTCCTTTTATGCATTTTACTCATTTTTGTGTTTTAATTTCATCTGATTTTGAATCTGTGTGAAAAACAGGATGAAAGGAACATGAGCCATCCCCAAACTATTGGGATGTGTAGGGAGTAGGAAGGAGTGAAGAGAGAAGATATACTTAATTCTCAATTTGCTTTCATTTTTATGTCACAGAAATATCAAAATGCATCCGAATGTGCCCTGAGATACCACTTCAATAGTGGATCTGAATATCCATATCTTTCATATACTATTACTAATCCATTGGGATTTAGCCACTAAAATTGCACTAAAGGACTTCTATGATTTAATCTTCACCAAGAATCATATCTCCTAATCCAGAAGAGCATTCAAGGTCGAGAACCCCGAGGCACCATATGAGCCACAAGAGTGACATCAGCACTCCTTAGATCATCATCAAAGAAAGTTTACTGTCGTCATCCCTTCATTACACAGTCATCTTAAGGGGTGTTCATCTGTCATTCAGTCCATGCCTGGAACTAAAATGATGCCATGAAGTGGTCAGCAGGAAACAGAAGGAATCAATTTCTTTCTACCTCTGTCCTTATTGCTATTTAAAGTACAGTGGTGTGCTCATCGGAAGATCCTTGCAGTCAGTTAAAAAAAAAAAAGGTGAGAGGCAGTGTCACAGGTGGATTGCCTGGAAGATTTATTCACACCCCTAGTCTAACTTCTGATGAGTTTGCGAAGGATACAGAAACTCGGAAGAGGGGTGACCACCTGGAATGGAAAGGCAGCATTCCACAGCACAGAAAGAGTGCAAAGTTAGCACTCACGGGTCCCTAAGTGATATCTGTCTTAGGCTTTCTGGAGGTCTGTAAAACCCATACCATACCTCTGCAGGAAAAATATTGTCTTTTTTTAATTCCATAAAAAACCATGTATATGAAAAACATGGGCTAAACATCTGAATAAAAATATATGTTCACTTATTCATTCCACAGTTATTTATTGAGTGCCTAATAGATGCCAGACACTTTTCTGGGCATCGGACAGGAAGCAATTCACAAAAGTCATGGAACCTGTCCTCATGACATAATCGTGAGAAAAAGCTGAATCGTCTCTAGCCTCTTTTAAAATGTCTTCATTCAATAAATATTCATTGAACTAGGACTATTAGAGCCCTTTGTTTTCATCAGCAAACAAAACAGCTTCAAGCCCTCATGGAACCTCCAGTTCAGTAGGGATAGATGGACAATAAACACAAGACAGGTGTGAATGATGTGCTATCGTCAAAGGAGGTAAGTGATGTGGATAAAAGGCAGAAGAAGGGGGATCGGGAGCGCTGCAGGGAGGGAGGTGTGCAGGGTCAGCATGCAGCCGTAAGCAGGCCAGTCAGCCCCTTGGGAAGATATCTGAGCACAGACTTGAAACAGGAGAGGGAGACAGCGCCTCAGAGCCCTGCAGGAAGGCCAGCCATTCCCAAGGCTTTGAGATGGGACCGCGGCTGATGTGTCTGAGGAAGGAAAGGAGACAAGTGTGGCTGGAGAGGGTCCACGGGAGAGATGAGAGGGATGGGAAAGGAGGTCAGAGTGGAAATGGGAGCAAGTGGTGGACCTGATCGAC